GCATACGGATGTTCGCCGATACGCAGGGTTGTTCGGAATTGGTTGAATATGCACACGCATACACTACCAAACATTTCATAGAAGTTACAAAAAATGAAGAATTTTTACTGCTATCTGCCAATGAAGTTTCGAAGTTACTTGAGTCTGAGGATCTTAATGTTCCCTCGGAAGAAACTATCTTTCATGTAAGACAAACTGTTTGTTGAGAGCGAACCAATTTATATTTATGTTTGAGTTTATATTTATGTTTGAGCAAATATTTCATACAAATGCAATTAAAATATCTAAGCTGAGATGCAGAATAAATAGAATCGTTATTGTTTTATTATTATTTCAGGCTCTAGTAACTTGGCTGGAACACGATCCAGAAAACAGGAGCAAAGATGCCAGTCAATTATTAGGTTTAGTCAAATTACCATTGCTATCACCCGCGGTAAGTTCATCGACAGCTCAATTTTTTCACTCGACAGAACTTGTGCATTAGCTTACTAATAAATCAAAACAGTTTATAGTTGACAATATTGAGAGTAACGAAATGTTCAAAGACCAAAGAATGGCGCAGGAATTAGTAATGGAAGCATTGAAGTATCATTTGCTGCCTGAGCGAAGACCTTTGCTTCAAACAGGCAGAACGAAACCCAGAAAAGCCACTGTGGGTACGTTGTTAGTTCTCGGAGGGATGGACGCCATAGACGGTAATTTATTATAACCAAAATTAATTATTTAATATTAATCGCATAACTGATAATTAATCGATCACGATTAATGTAAAAAAAATATATTATGCCAATATTGTCGCACTATTTTACTTTTTCCAAGCGAAATAATTTGCAACGTACTTTCTAGGTACAACATTTATAGATGCATTTTCATTACGCGATAATGCCTGGAGATATTTAGCAGCCATGAGCAGTAAAAGATTAGGGTTTGCCGCAGTAGTACTCGATAGAAAATTGATTGTCGCGGGCGGTACAGACGGTTTAAGAACATTGAACACAGTAGAATGCTTCGATTTCTCCACTCTTACGTGGAGCACTCTACCACCTATGAATGTTCATCGATTAGGATTAGGTATGTGCAAATGCATGAAAATTTGCAAAATTAATGTGCAATTTATTTCATTTATTCATAATCAAACCCTGGCAAATACGTTATAATATTCTTTCTCAGGAATGGCAGTCTTAGGTGGATTTTTATATGCTGTTGGTGGTTACGACGGTGATTGTTTTTTTAATGCGGTAGAGAGATGGGATCCGGGAACAGGTCATTGGAGTTCAATATGCCCTATGTCCGTACAAAGAGCTGGAGTCGGTGTAGCTGTGTTAAATGATAAGTAAGTCTTTACAGATAAATTATTAAATTTATATGTCTTATCTGTTTTTAATCATTTGGATTTTCTTTTTACGTATGTGTCTTCGTATAAATATTATTTTATTAACTTTAAATTTTATTAAATATTAAATTTTTTTAAAATAAATTTAATATTAAATTTTTTATGATGTTTTAGATTGTATGCCGTAGGAGGAGATGATATCAGTTCCTGCTTAAATACAGTAGAATGTTACGATCCGCACACGAACAAATGGACACCGTGCGCACCTATGTCAAAGAGACGAGGGTGGGTAGGCGTAGGAGTAATGAATGGTTGTCTTTATGCACTCGGTGGTGTCGACTATACTTCACGTACCAATCCCAATTGGTACCTAGAACCTAGCAGATTCGACTGTGTAGAAAGGTATAAAGCCGCTGTTAATTATATGTTGAAACTTTCAAGTTATATATAATGCGATGTAACAATATAGATATGATCCTAAAACCGATACGTGGACTATGGTTGCGCCAATGAGTGTGCCCCGGAGTAGAGTTGGTGTGTGCGTATTAGGTGACCGACTTATGGCCGTGGGAGGATACGACGGCCAACAAAGTCTCACACTAGTGGAAGCCTACGATCCACATCTCATCGAATGGGAACCTGTGAGTGTATAAACTATTCCTGTAATTGAATATGGTAAATAGAAATAATTGTAAATATATTTTGTAAACTTAAACCTTTTTTATGTTTATAGGTTGCTTCTCTTAAGGTTGGCCGTCGGGGACGCTGTGTTGTTGTAAAAAATTTAACCAATAACATACTAAATAACATACTAAACGATCAGTAATTGGACTTGCTAATTATGCAAATTTATCATTAAAATTAATCCTTATATATATAATTTTTTGTAGAATTCTATTTCTTTAGTAAATGATGATTGTGTTAGTTATATATTGAAGATGCGTGTTGCAAATTACATATTTTTTCTTAAAGGAACTATGCTTTTTTTATACCAATTGATTCGTCTCATTATTCTGTGCAGAAAAGTATTAAGGTAACATTACCGAAAACTTGATGTTTTATAACAAGATATTTTGTATTTTATGTCAAGTCAAAATACTAGAACTTTCAAGCCTTATTAATGAAAAAATACTTTCTTATAGTGTTTTGGAAAGCCCTCGAGATAAGCTACAAGAATATGTAATAAAAAGTAGGTGGTTCTATTTAAAAAATTGAAGGTGACCTTTACGTGACTTTCAAGCAACTGTTTAAGGTGAAACTAATGACACCATTTTATGTACCTCTTGAAACCATACAACTTTGGTCTGGAACATTTTTCTCTAAAATGTTGCGTTTACGAATAAATCGGGTGATACGGGTGGTCTGAGACACCCGGTATATATTCATTACATCAATTTATCTTAATCTTGCCTTAATTAAATAGGGGTACAATATATATACAGATGAAAATCTGCGATTGATTATATCGAAAAAAGATTAAGATTAATTACGGGGAGACAGGCTGAAAAGCAACGCACACGGTCAACTATCTTGAGGCACAAGATAGGGACAGTAAGTATGTTGTGTTCGTTCAATTACTCTTAATAAATGTGCAAAAAATTTGCCATATTCAATGATTTTCAAAAAGTACATGTCTAAATAGAGAGTTAAGCATATTCTGCAAAAATTAATGATGTTACAATCACGCCAATATTTGTTCTACTGCCCTAAAAAATAAACAAAGTTTTATATATATATATATATTGCATAAATATACATTTCAAACATAAAGAAACGAGTAAGAATTAAAATAACAATTTTAGCCGAATAAATATATTACAATTTCTCTCTACAACTAATTTTTATAAATATCGATAAAAAACTCCGTACTCTGTGTCTAAATTCACAATACAATGAAATCACAATAATACAATATTAAACTGTATAAACACGGTATCTGGAACAAACGCAAGAGAGAGAATATTTAAATATTTTTTTTATCGATCAGAGAATATATTATTACCTTGTTTTCATAGTTAAATAAAAATCAGAGACATTAAATAAATATTCCTGCAAACAGGATGAAAAATATAGATTGTAACAATATAATAAAACAGCTCTTAGTTTGTTCTGTAGTTTATTACTATATTTTTACTGTATTACACTGTCTTTCTCTTTTTCTTTTATATTAAAATATTTTTAATTTGTCCAAGTTTTGTAATTGTACTACAATTTATCACTATTTTTTAAAAAAGACTAATATTTTTATATATAATTATGTTCCTACAGAATAATACATATTTCTAAAATTATTACATATTTTGATAATTAAACTTTTATAGATTTACATAGAATCATATATTAATAATTTAACGATAAAAAAGTCCTCGAGCAACAAAATATAAAACGTTACATTAGTTTCTATTTAAAAATGCTATAAAGATTATACATCATGAAGATCTTGACTGTGTATAAAAATATAACTACGTGTAAGCTATAAGAAATTACATATAGATAACTAAAAGTTATCATCAGACTTTCTTATCACATAAGAAATATTATTGTATTCATGAAACTCCCGAAATATGAATATGCGTATGTTACATATGCGTGCATGTGTGTGTACTGAGTTTATAATAAAATATTTTGCTATTTGCCTGCTCTATGTGCTTTAATAATAATTGTTAATAATAACTGTTTAAAATTGATAATCATTATGTATTAATAAAATTTGCTTACGATATAAAAATACGTGACTATGTTATTCGACTTAATTTACGTGAAAATGAAAAATATAAAACGATTGCTAGTAAAACATTTACCACATATTTATAAATTTTAACTAACTGCCGATAACGCTTTGAATGTAAAAGTAGAATAGCCATAGTAATTTAATACGTAAAAAGCCCAGTTTTGATCATTGAGCGAATTACATAATTTATATTTAGATTACGCTCATAAAATTTAATATCGGTATAGGCTTCTATAACACGCAGATAAGCTCGAATATGTTTTTAAGTATAATGTCATGAATATGATAAACTCAGCACCCAAACATAATGTAATACTGCATTTACTCCTTGCTCGATAACCCTTGAAAAATCAAACGCTTTACTGCCAATACGTTATGAGATCAGATAATAATTTTACTTCTATATAACTTCATTTAATTTACAACTGGTGTACGTTTCAAATCAATCTGTATTCGATAAAGAGGTTGATCAATCTAATTACGTTCAATCTGTTAGAAAAATTGAACAATTAAAATTTAATAATCTTGCTAATTAATTAAATTCGAACAAAGAAAATCTTTTAATACGAAACTGTTCACAGGAAAGAGAAATTATTATGTAGATCCACACAGATTAAGACTCAAACGAAACGGCAAATACTTATTATTCATATTAGTAAATAGAAAGTTTGAGATGCTATAGTGACGAGCGATGTAGCGTATAAAGTCGACAGCAAATGTATGCGACATATGTATCCAATCAAGCAGGTAATAGAAATAAAAATTTTAACGACGCAACTCACATTCTCACAAATTTGATAACGTTTCTACGAAAGAACACTCTAAGCTTTCGTCAAAAAATTTCGTCAAAAAATATCGACTTTAAACAATAAGCAGATAACTTCTCGAAATCACGTTTCCAGATTACGTTTAGAAGAGGTACGATTTCATACGGCGAATTGACACCTGCGCGCGAATCAGACTATCTTGAGCATTCCACGAACACTCATATGCGCGGAAGAGAAGGGTATTAATGTTCAAAGATAGCTGTGTTTCAAGTCCGACAAATTTTCGGCGCGCAGTTTATTAAATTGGAATATATGTATATGTACAGTATGTACATTACAATTCGTTATTTCTTTATACGTAAAGTATATAATATATGAACACC